TTGGCGTTCTACTCGCTCTTCTTCTGTTCTCAGCTCCAGTTGTGAGGCTGAGATCTACGCCACAGCCATGGCTGCACAGGAGTTACGCTGGCTCACCTACCTGCTGACCGACCTGGGAGAGCGGCCTCGTTCTCCTCCAGTGCTGTACGTTGACAACAAGGCCGCCATTGCCTTGTGTGAGGAGCACAGACTGGAGCACAGGACGAAGCACATCGCTCTGCGCTACTTCCTTGCTCGAGAGCTGCAGCAGCGTGGTCAGCTTCGTCTGTGTTACGTGGCCACTCGGGCCAACACTGCTGATGTGTTCACCAAGGCGCTTCAGCCTTGTGACCATCAGCGTTTCTGTACTGTTCTAGGCCTTGTGCCTACTCTCCCTCACTTGCTCACTTCTTGACTCTGCTTGTACTGTGATCCATATATATATACCTGCATGTTTACTCTTGTTAGGTTGTGATCACTGTACCTCTTGTTATATTATCAAACTGCATGTGAACTGGTCTTGTGACCACTTGCTTGTGCTCGGAATTTGTGTGGTTTCCTTGAGATCCACCCTGAGCTTGCTTTGCTTTGCTTTGACTGGTCTTGTGACCATCTGGTTGTCTCCCACTTAGCCTATGGGGGTGTGTCAAACATTATACATGTTCATATTGTGTAGGCTATAGTGGGTTTAGCCTTAGGGGGTACAACATTGCTAGGGTTTCCTACTTGTATCACCCTGCTGCCTAGTTTCACACATTCTCGTTCAGTTCTACATTCTAATATTCCTCACCAAGCGTCTGCCACGTCAGCAGTACAAGCACTGCTCTGACCTCACCGGAGTGGTCAAACGAGTCAGCTCCCCCTGCGCCCAGGAATGAAGGGGAGTGTTACGATATGAAGGCATTCCTGTATGCTGCAGGAGCCGACTCTACCGAGTACGAAGTCGAGGAGTCAGAAGAGTCGAAGCGACGCAGCAACCGTCAAACCAAGACCGATGCAGGCAGAAACATTTGAAGTGAAAAGAGCGGGAACAGGTTCAAAACTGGTTCCCGCGCCGCACGGTTTGAATTTGCTGCAATAAGGGAATGTACCCCTTAGAGTACATGGCTAGTCTAGGTCTTTTCGTATTCCCCTGTATTCTTATATAAACCGGATGTATGCATGCTTTCATCAAATCAGTCATTTACATTCACTCTGACCTGAGATTCAAAACTTCCGCTGCAACACTACTCTGCGATCAACCCTGAGCGATCCTTCGCTAAGTCCCACTTGGGATTGTAACATACGCCTCCACATTTCCCAATTCACAGCGTTAGGTCCGAAGGGCACCTTTTGTGTAAGGTGTTACAATCCCAAGTGGAACTTCGCGAAGGATCCCTCGGATTTGGTCGCAGAGTAATGTTGCAGCGGAAGTAATTGCTGCGATCAGTAGTTGATCATTCTCAGGATCGCCTCAGGAAGGTTCGCACACTTCTAGTCTAGTGGTGGTGGGCCCTTGACCTCAATAGCAGAGTGAATGTAAATGCTTGAGATTATTAAAAACATGCAGTACAAGGAATATAAATAAGAGTACAGGGGAATTCGAAACGACCTAGCTAGCCATGTACTCTAAGGGGTACATTCCCTTATTGCAGCGAAATTCAACCGTGCGACTCCGGGTGGTTACGAAACTGTTCGGGCAGAATCCTCGCCACTGCTGCTGCCTGATGCTGTCTGCCCGACGGTCCAGATGCTCCTCGTAACCGTACGTCCTTTCGCATTACTAAAGCCCTTTCGTCTTCGACCTCGGTAGTGCGTGCCAGAGCTGCTCGGAATTGACCCGGTGAGAAGCAGAGGTCCGGGTTCAGCGGTTGAGCCTGCAGCCACGCTCCTACTTCTTTGCCTATCAGGATGATAAGGCGGAGGGTGTGTCCAATTTCTGGGGTTGACTGGATTGTGCGGGAATCCTCATTAAGGGCCTCGGCCTTTGCTGCGTAGAACTTTTGGGAGAGGATTCATTGCAGCTGGTTGGTCCTGGGACGGGCTTTGCTGCTCCTTGCGTGAGTTGCAAAAGGCACCTCCCATGTCACTTATGGTGGCCGAATGCGTTGATGACGCCTGCAGGAGGTTGTTGTGGGCTCCCAGCGCGACGGACAAGGGTAATTCGAGGGTGCAGAGTAGTCGTAGGCTTCAGTTGTTGATGCCATGTAAGTCGGTGCTGCTTCAGTGGTGGGGTCTGTGAGGCCCAGTCCGCCCAAGGTGATTGGTAGGGTTGCCTGTCACAGAGAAAGTTGAACTCAGCCGCGTGGCGTGGTGGTTGAATGCTGACAGCGGTCAAGGCTTAATTATGCAATTCGGAGCACCATGTGTGCCAGGGATAAGAGGAATGCTAGTGTCGTACGCTGCAGGTAACCGATTCTGCGACTGGCGTACCGAGACAACAGCATCATGTTATGCCGTCGGTGAGTGGATGCCAGCGACCCCAAGGGAGCCATGCGTCTATCAAGGTCTGCGCAGAAGCTCTTCATAACTACAAGGTCAGCGCAGAAGCTTTGCATGCGACTTCCAAGCACTCGTACTCCCTCATGCGTTAGGAGTAGGCCTTCGGGGAGACCATTGTGTCCAAGCGACCATTTCAGAAAATTGCAGGTGAGGCCGTCCGCCGCTAGTAGCGACGTTAGCTCCCTTAGCGAGCCGAGCGTTGCCGTTGTGGGTCCTATCAACGTTATGTCGTATAAGCATGCGAGAACCGTGACATCCGGATGCGCCGCTGCACCATGTCTGGGGTGGTGCTGGATAGATGCCGCAAATATCAGGGGGGCTGGGGGGGCCCTTCTGTCTGACTCCCCTTCCGCTGGTGAGTGGCGTGAAATTCATGTTTGGATCTAGCAGTAGTGGTGCTGATGCTGCATAGAACGAGCATGTGAAGGGTGCGGTGCTAGCAGGGATCATTGGAGTGCGTTGAAGAACGAGCTCCTCTCAACAGAGTTGAATACTCTTTTCAATGTCGAGTTGGAGGACGGGGCTGGAGGGCTGCACCAAGGAGAGATCTATGACTGCGTGGATGACAGATTCTGCCCCTCCAGGGATTGGCATGCTGGAGAAAGAGGTGAGTCGAAAGAAAGCGAGCCTCTTCACAATCTACCACATGTTGGACTCTCCACACTTCATGGCTGTCCTCCTTCTATCTCAGCATTTCTTTTCTAAGCATAGACCATCATGTAATTGCAACTTCACTTGATTTCAAGTTTTTATTTTTTCTGAATGTCTTGACTTTGGATTGTATAAGTATATAAAATTTCCCCATTCTTATGCTTCATGCATTTTCACCCCTTCCTATCCTTGCTTTGGAACCCTTTTCCACACATTCCGTTTGTGCCTTGCCGGCTAACAAAGCCTCAAGGGTTTCAGCAATGCCTCCGTGCGGCTGTTTCCAGAAGGAGCTTCACGAAGTTGACTACTTCAGGGCACGGGCAGCCATAAGTCTCAATAGCTGGGGGGGGGGGGGGGGGGGGGGGGGGGGGATTTTACCCACTCTGGACTGTCTTTGTAGTGGTCAATCTTTTTAGCCACTGCTTCTTGTCCAGCCCAACCCCGTCCTTTAACCGCGTCTTCGTCGCGAGTGTTGATCGGGGCTGTGACTGTCACATCATAGATAAAGACCGCCACAAATGTGCGGTCACATATCGCTAGGCTGGCCGTCTTCTCTTCGATGGGGCTGAAGGCGGCCGACTCCTCGTGCACCATAAAACTAGCATCTTGCGCCATGGGCACGCACTCGTCCCGGAGTTCGTTGTGCGTGTTATTTCACCCCCCCCCTTATACTGCACCGCAACAGGTGGGTTCACAAAACGTTTGTCGGGAATCTCAACCTGTTTCGTGCAGTTGCACACCCTAGGTGCTGCGAAGGGAAGCCCAAGCCAGAACTGGAGTGCATTGGCATAATGGGGGGGCTCAAGACGAAGTGAAGAGAACAGGGGTACGTCATTTAACCAATCCCCTACCCCATACCTTGACAGGGAAAGCAGCCGCTGCGTGTCACCATTGTTGTGGTTGGGCCCACGCACGGCCTCGACCCGCACGGCGTAGCGCTGGCCTTGAGTAGCGGTGGCCAGCCCGTTCTACAGCTTCCCTGCGGTCAGAACTGTTCTCTTCGACTGTAAGAGCTCTTGAGCTGGCGGTGGGAGGTTATGTTCGCACTCCGCTAACCATTCAGCCAGTGACAAGGTATTGGCGCGCATCTGCTCGCGGGTCTCCTTCAGTGGGCCGATACTTGCGCTGTCTAGTGAGTCGAGCAGTTGCTTTGCCTGTGTGAAGCTGGCAAGAAATCTGTAGCGCCATTTGATGGATGGGTCAGCCAGTCCAAGGCCCCCGAGCGACACGGGGAGGGAAGCTTGAGCCCGAGTGCGGGAGATCTCCGCCTCACCACGTGCAGATACCACATGCAGTTAGCAGAGTCTTTAGAATCCGCTGTCCCCAGCCGGACCACTCCTCCTGGGGCAGGTGCGGCATCAGCGTCGTGTGGGCCAGGTAGGAAACGCGACGACATATACACCAAGACAGTAGCAACCCTGCCAAGTGTGGCTCCATCCGTTCTATCGGCCTCAGGGGCGCACTCATCGCCTCCAGACTGGCATGGATGAAGGGGGACGTTGCTGTGGTATTGCCAATACAGATGTCTAGCATCTTCAACCCTTCGCCACTGAGTGGGACGCCTTCTGGTAGGCGGGATTTTAGGGGCGTGTTTCGTGACCAAGCTGCACACTTCGCTGGATTGTGGGTGGGACCGATCTCCGCCAAGCCTCTAGTGAAGTGGTCACAGGCTGCTACACACGACGATGGCTCCGCAATAAACGTGACGCCATCTGCATATGCCAGGCAGACGACTGAATGGAAAGCTTTTGCCGCTGCCTTCAGGGTTGGGTGCATGGCAGCAGCGAATAGGAGGGGGCCAAGAGGGCCACCTTGGCGAACTCCAGTCTTGCTGCGCAAAGGTGCGTGTTCAAAGGCGGGATCCAGGTGCAGGGCTGACGGCTAGCCACATGGGAATTGGACAAGTGGCAGTAGCGGCTCTAGTTGTGATCCCTTCAGTGCGGCTGCGATGGCCGGGCCATCAACGCTATTGAAGGCGTTGGCCAGGTCTGCTTGTAGAACTAGCGTGCCTTGGTTGGCGGCAGTGAACGCGCGGGCAATGTAAATAACAGCCTCTGCTCTGCCAGGCACGGCCACTCCAAACTGCAGATGTAAGAAGAACTCTCTCGCCGCGCCTGCTATCTGTGTAACCGCTGCTTTAGCCGCTAGCCGTAGGATACACTCGCTGGTGCCTCCATCTGGTTGCTGAGAGCTATCAGACGTGACGCTGTAAGTAACTTCCAGACCTCCAGCACCCCCCGTTTGCCTTCCCCCCACCGTGGCAGCCGCGTGAGGGCGAAGAGGGAAGGAGTGACAGCAAAGGGGAGGGAGAGGAGGTGAGGAAGAGGGGGGGGAGGAGAGAGGGGGGAGGGTCAGGGGGACTAAGGAGGCTTGAACACCTCAGACTCGGACGCCAGCCCCGCCACCCCCCCCCCCCCCCCCCCCCCTCACAGCGTCTGTCGAGGCAGGGTGCAGTAGCAGGCGCGGGTGCAGCAGCACAGTCTTTACGGGAGCAACATGGGACGGCGACAGTGGGCAGCAACGGGCGCCACAGGAGGGGGAGGAAGGGGAGAGGGGGGGGGACGAAGGGGGGGCGCAACCGGGTTGCGACGGGGAGAGGGGAGGAGGGGGGGGCTCGATGGGCGCAACGGGAGCAGCAACAGGGGACGGGGGCCGAGACAGGGGTCCACGGCGACCAGCAGGCTGCGGTGGTCGCTCGAGAGGGAGGCTGCCATAGGACAATAAATATATAAAGGTTCTAGATATAAACCTGCTCTGTTACAATGTCAAAAGGAGAGTACAAGAGGTAGAAGGAGAGCAAGAGCAAAAGGGTGCACCACCAACATGTGTAACTATGCTACACTAGGCTACACACGCAATTCATGAAAAATATTTGTATATATATATATATATTCTCAACAATTTGTACGCTGAAGGACCTTTAGGGGAGTGTAAATCCGACAAACCGTAGACCCTTATTGAAGAAGAAGGGGAGGAGTACTTGTGAGAAGAATGCGGTTCACTAAATCCGGGGAGGTTGAATAAATTGGTTGTAGAACCATGTGGAAGTGATCGAAAGGAGGCAGATGGAGAAACATAAGCATTATGAGAGCATCAACAATGTATGCATGCATGAGAGAAGGGAGGAAATGTGAACGTACGTGGTTGGACGAGATGGGATTGAGTTTCGGTTTATAAGGTGTTATATGTTGGGCATTCCCACAGGTGCAGCTGTATCGCACCTGTCACTATCGAAGCAGCACTAGTAACAGTATTGGATCAGCCCGTACAAGGGCAGAAATGTCAAGAGTCTCAAAGGTCAACTGTCACGGCTGTTGACCATCTGGACCGAACGACTCACCAGCGGAGAGTGGCAACAGGCGTAACTGTCCATACAGTTGCATTTAGCGACTCGATAACAAGAAGAAGAGCAATGGTCAGAGTTACTGTAGAAATGCTTGTTAAAAAAAAAAAATAAGGAGTTACTGAAGCGCCTGTAGCGCCCTTAGCGCTTGCCCGTTCCGTCACGAAGCGCCCGTAACGCTCGTAGTGCCCGTCGCACGCGCCTCCCTGCCCGTCGTTTTGTCCCCTGCCCGTCGCGTCGTGTCCCCTGCCCGTCCCGTCCTCTGCCCGTCCCGTCCCCTGCCCGTCGCGTCGCGCTGCCCGTCCCGTCCCCTGCGCGTCGTGCTGCCCGTCCGTCCCGTCCCCTGCGCGTTGCGCTTCCCGTCCCATCCCCCCCTTCCGTCAGCGCGTCGCGCTGCCCGTACCGTCCCGTCCCCTGCGCGTCGCGCTGCCCGTCCCGTCGCGTTTCGTCCCCTGCCCGTCGCGTCTCGTCCCCCCCTCCCGTCGACTCGCCCCCAGCCCGTCGCGTCGCGCCCTACTGTCCCGTCGAGTTGCGTCCTACCCGTCCTGTCGCGTCATGCCCTGCTGTCCCGTCGCGTCGTGCCTTCCGCTCAACCTGTCGCGCCCTGCTCGGACCCTCTAGACGTTTAGGGTTTCGGCAGCAGCAGTTTCCACCTCTACGCTTCCGCTATGGTGACCCCTAGGGTCCTGCGCTTTGACGCTGAGGGTAGGCCACTCGAGTTCTCGGTCTGGCTCCTGTGTGCGCGCCGCCTCGTAGAGAGCAAGTTAAGGCACACGAGACTCTGTGGGCGCACGCTTTCGGTGACCTTCCTGAGCCCGCTGACCCTCCACCCTTAGCAGCTGACCCCACACCTGCAGACAGTGACCGTTATGCACGCGAGCGTGCTGACGTGACCGCATAGAAGTCGCGTGACGCTGTGGCCTGCATCGCCCTCAGCAGCCTCCTTCCTGAGTCTAAGGAGACCCACTTCACTCAGGTTCGCACGGCTAGTGAGTCCCTGACTGCGATCACGGCCCGCTACACTACTCCCACCACTATCTCTCTTGGTCGCCTGTTCCTTCCGTTCCTGTTTCCTGACCTCGCCTCGTTTGAGCGCACTGCTGACTTGATTACTCATCTGCGCTCGCTCAATTCTAGCTACCGCGCTGCTTGCACTGCTCCCATGGCGATTACTATCTAATTCATCGCCACTAGCCTCCCTGGCCTCCTTGCTTCGGTTCGTGACGCGCTTCTTCTGAAGCACCCTAGCGAGCTCACTATCGAGGTCCTTGAGTCGGCCCTCAAGGACGTAGAGAGCAACCTCTGCTCGGTAGCCTCTGCCTCTAGTGCTGTGCCCCCTCCACTGTTTCACGGGTACACTTTCCCTCAGCTGCCCACCTTTACTGCCTCCCTCGCCACTGCCGCTACTGACGTGACCGCAGCTGCTGTTACGACTTCTTCGCGGTCTTGGGGTAAGAGTGGCAGGAGGGGCGGTTAGGGTGCGGGTGGAGGCGGCTGAGGCGGTGGGGGTGACGTGGCGAGTGGCGGCGGCGGGAGTGCACGGGCTGGAGGAGCGCCTCGTGCAGCAGCCGGTGACTCCCCTGCTGCAGCTGGTGGAGGTGACGCCCAGGTTCGTCAGCCACCTACTAGTCTTCCAGCCGCAGGGGGTGGAGCAGCGGTGTGGTACCTGACTTAGCGACAGCAGCAGCAGCAGCAGCGGCAGCAGCAGCAGCAGCAGCAGCAGCAGCGGCAGTAGCAGCAGCAGCAGCAGCAGCAGCAGCAGCAGCAGTAGCCCCTCCCCTCACAGCAACCACAGCAGCAACAGCGGCAGCAGCAGGTTTCGGGGCAGGGGTCAGGACAGCGTCAGCTGCAGCGCGGTGTCGTCCACCCTCCCTGCACCTATCACGTTCTGACAAGTGCCCGCCGCGGCCAGCCTTGTGGCTGCAGCCACCCATCGGGTCAGTGCTTTGCTCAGCTTAGTGACACGGTTCGGTTGGCCTACGGCGTTCACGGCCCTACCCCTAACTGGCTTCCCCTTGTTCAGACGTACGGCCCCGCTCTGTGGGGCATGTCGGCTTCTCAGTTGGTTGATCTCTTAGGAACTCCTCATGCTATGTATGCTGTTGTTGACTCTAGTGCTTCTGACTCTGTTTACTCGAGTGTTGTTAGCTTAGGTGCTAGTCTTGCTGAGGTTCCTGCTGCTAGTGTAGGTACTTGTGTAGACACTAGTCCAAGAGCTGCTCCGAAGGACGCTTCGCTGTCTTTCACTCTGGACTCCGGAGCTTCGCACTATTTCTTCTGCGACCGCCCAACACTTACCCCGCTTCCTACGCCGGTCTCTATAGCACTAGCTGATCCCACTTTGGGACCAGTCACTTCTCGCTACACTACTACGCTTCCGTGCCCGGCTGTTCCCTCCGGTTCTATGACCGGCTTCCACGTCCCCTCGTTCTCGAGGAACTTGGTGGGCGTGAGGCCGCTCGTGAGTCAGCACGTGGGTGTGTGGATTGAGCCTTCTGGCGAGACTGCGGTTTGTGTCGACGAGGACACGTACGCGCCTCTTGCCACCTTTGCCGCTGAGCTCTGATCTCTACACACTTCACACTAGCCCCCAAGGGCAGCAGCAGCAGCAGCAGCAGCAGCAGCAGCAGCAGCGGCAGCGGCAGCAGCAGCAGCAGCAGCAGTAGCAGCGGCAGCAGCAGCAGCAACAGCGGCAGCAGCAGCGGCGGCAGCAGCAGCAGCGGCAGCAGCAGCAGCAGCAGCAGCTGCAGCGGCAGCAGCAGCAGCGGCGGCAGCAGCAGCATCAGCAGCGATAGCAGCAGCAGCAATAGCAGCAGCAGCAGCAGCAGCAGCAACAGCAGCGGCGGCGGCAGCAGCAGCAGCAGCTACTGCCCTCGACCCCTATCATTGCCCCCCGTCAGGTTCCCGCGTCTCCCCAGGTAGCTGTGTCGGGTCAGGTTCCCGTGTCTGGTCCAGTTGCTGCGTCTTGCTCCTGCCTGTCGCTTGCTCACCTTATCGTTCTGTGGCACCACCGCATAGGGCACCCGTCCATTCCTCTCCTGCGCACTATGTCTAGTCAGCGTCTTGTCTTAGGCCTCCCGCGAGTCTTGCTGTCGCTGCCGCCTTCGCTTGCACCACCTTGTGGTCCCTGCATCGAGGGTCGGCCGCGCGCCACCCCTCACTCCTCCTCCCTTCGTCCGGCCACCGAGCCCTTCGAGACTCTCCACTTGGACGTCTGGGGCCCCGCCCCTCGCCTTGGCCCTGAGCGAGAGAGTTTCTTTCTGGTGGTCGTTGATGACTACTCTCGCTACACCGCAGTGTTCCCCCTGGCGAAGAAGTCTGAGGTGACTTACCACTGCGGACACTCGTGGTCGTCGTGTCAGCTGTCTACACTCCGACCGCGGGGGTGAGTTTCACTCCGGCATTCTCGCTGGATTCTATCGCGAGCAGGGCATCCGTCAGTCCTGGACGCTTCCAGAGTCCCCACAGCAGAATGGGGTTGCTGAGTGCCACATAGGCTTGGTCATGGAGATTGCACGCACCTCCATGATCCACGCCCGTGCGCCCCATTTTCTGTGGCCCTACGCGGTTCGGTACGCCGCTCACCAGCTGAACCTCTGGCCACGTGTCTCTTGGCCAGAGGCTTCACCGACCAGTCTTTGGACCGGGTCCCCTGGTGCTGCGTCGCGTTTTCGTGTCTGAAGCTGCTTGGCGCTTGTTCGTGACACCTCCGCGGCTCCCCTCGCCCCAAGTGTGCCCTGTGTCTTCCTTGGTTTCCCCGAGGACTCCTCTGAGTTCACCTTTTACCACCCTCCCGATCACCGGTTCTTTGACTCCCGCGACGTTCGTTTTGTTGAGTCAGTCACCTTTACACCCGGTACCCCTGTCGAGGACTCCCAGTTCCTCCTCCCCCGATCTTCCTGACTTCAGCTCCCCCTCCTGCTCCCCCGGTACAGCCTCCGCCCCCTGGTCCCGCCCCGTCAGGTGTGTCCCACGCTACCCCTCCCCCCTCGGTAGCCCCTCAGGTGCAGCCTCCTTCCCTGCAGTCCTCCTCCCAGCCTACAGCAGACCCTGCGGGAGCCGGTTTTCGTGGCGAGGACCCTGGAGGTGCTAGCTCTAGAGGTGCTGGAGTTGGAGCAGAGAGCGTACCTGTGCGAGGTCCTGGTTCTGGGGGTGCTGGAGTTGGAGCTGAGCCCGTGACTGCAGGAGACTCTAATCTTCGGGGAGCTGGTGTTAGTGGAGCTGTCCCTGGGGATGCTACGATTAGGGGTGCACCCTTTGCTGGACCTGGAGAGCCCTGGGACGGGCCCTGTTACTTCTGGTGGTGCTGGCTCTGGGGGTGGTGCGACTGGTTCTTTGGAGAGCGGTCCTGGGGCTACCACCGCTCCGGACACTACTCCTCCCCCCAAC